GTTAATACAGGTGCTGATATCAACTTCTGCTTAAGTTCTTGGAAACTTTGTTCGCATTTTTCCGTCCATTGGAATTTTACTCCATTCCTTGTAAGCTGCGTCATTGATCCAGTGTTCATCAATTCCAACCATCGCCTTTGTCGCATATTCAATTTCTTCTGTGTGAAGAAATACTTGAGACTTTTGTGATCTGTGTAGATATCACACTTCCGTCCATACAAGTAGTGTCGCCATATCTTCAAAGCGTGTACTCTCGCTGCAAGTTCTAAATCATGCGTCGGGTAGTTCTGCTCATGTTTCTTCAATTATCTTGAAGCATAGACTATCACTTTTCCATTCTACATTAGTATACATCCCAATCCTCACTTGGATGCGTCGTTGTATATAACAAACCCTTCCGTACCTTCATGTATTGTTAATACAGGTGCTAATATCAACTTCTGCTTAAGTTCTTGGAAACTTTGTTCGCATTTTTCCGTCCATTGGAATTTTACTCCATACCTTGTAAGCTGCGTCATTGATCCAGCTATTTTGGGGAATTCTTCTATGAATCTCCTATAATATCCAGCCAATCCTAGAAAACTCCGTACTTCGCCAGCATTTGTTGGTGCTTTCCAGTTGGTTACTGCTTCTACTTTTGCTGGATCTACTTCAATCCATTGGCAATAACTACATGTCCAAGAAATCCAACTCGTTCAAGCCAAAACTCGCACTTCTTGAATTTGGCATACAGCTTCTCCTTGCGTAATACCTCTAAGGCTATTCTCAAGTGCTCTTCATGTTGCTCCTTACTCTTGGAATATATCAGAATGTCATCGATGAAGACTAAGACAAACTTATCCAAGTATTGATGAAACACTCGATTCATCATGTCCATGAACACTGCAGGTGCATTGATTAGCCCAAACGGCATCACCGTAAACTCGTAGTGTCCATATCAAGTTCTAAAAGCTGTCTTAAGTATATCCTTTGTCTTTACTTTCAGTTGATGGTATCCCGATTGTAAGTCGATCTTGGAAAATACCTTAGCTCTTTCAGTTGATCTAACAGATCCTCGATCCTCGGGAGTGGGTACTTATTCTTAATGGTTAATCGATTTATCTCCCTATAATCGATGCACATCCTCATGCTTCCATCTTTCTTCTTTACAAACAACACCGGCGCACCCCATAGAGATACGCTTGGTCATATGAAGCCTATATCTAGGAATTCTTGCAATTGCTTCTTTAATCCTTGTAGTTCCTTTGGGGCCATTCGGTATGGGGCCTTAGATACTGGTGCCGCCCCGGGAATTAGGTCTATGGAGAATTCCACTTGTCTATCGGGTGAAATA